TCCCTAGGGGGGCATTGGAGCTAGTGGGTCCTTCCAGGGCTGACCTCGCTGCCCTCGGCCGCCAGAGTGTGGCGGGCCGGCCCAGCCTCTTCTCTCCAGCCTCCCGAGGAATCCGAGCTCGCGGGAGCGGCATCGCGCCGCCCGCCTCTCCGTCTGGCCTCGAGTACCCGGCTCAGCCCTTTTTCTTCTCTCGCGTGCCTGTAGAATCCCTCTGTCAGTGAAGGGCAATCAATGCCGTTTGGCCCGAAGTTGGGTTTCCGGGGCTGCTTCTTAGGGTATTTAGCAGAAAGCGGCTCCCCTTGCAGTGAGAGCACGTCCCCCGGGTCTGTCGCTTTTCCTTCCCTTCACTCACAGACACGGTTTTATGGTGTGGATCCAAGGCACAATTGCGGTCTCTTCTTGCTTGAAATGTAATTCCTGATTACACTGAAGAAATATAATCAGAATTCCCAGAAAAAGAAAACCAAGGAGGAATAGGCTTCACCTTCCTTCACTTCTGTTTGCCTTTGGATTAGAAGACAATTTTGTAGATTACATTTCCGATGGGCAATCTTTTGTTGTGATTCAGACTAAAGATGCCTTTGCTTTTGAAGAGATAGATTAGCGACTTCTCTGTTGAGTTGAAGGCCATGGAGATTTTTGATAGCCTCTTTCTTCAACATGAAAGTTTCCTTTAGAACTTTGCCATCATCGGTGCTGTTCTGAAGGCAGCAACAACCTGAAAATTTAAGTATATGCAGAGTCCGGCCAAATGCAGATGCATTGCTTTGTGCTTATCTGCTGGCATCCGTCTCTTGCTATTTCCGTTGTGAAAACGTACAGATAATAAAAACAAGTCCAATAAAACGTATAGGTAATAAAAACAAATACCATGCAAACAAATGCATCTGGAAAATCTCAATTGTGTCAACGGGGAGGCAGTTTTACTAATCCGATTGAACGGATGACGAGAAAGGCTCAGAGATCTCATGGATTATGTAGTGGACAGGATGTGAGGGACTGGGGCCAGGACCCAGCAGGCCAGCTGGTTTCATGGTGCCACTCTAAATCCCCAAAATAGGAGGAATGTATTTGTTACTACTCTTATATTTAGGTCACTTTAAGGTTGAGTGCGGAAGCTTAAACACCCCTCATAGTTATTACTTCTATTTGTCTACCTCTGAGAACTAAATGCTATGGTTTTGTTTAATTTTTTTTTCCTACTAGTTTGCTTCAGACATTTAGGTTGTTTTAATGGGAGTTTGCTTATAACTAAAAACATTTAAAAAAGTATTGGAGAAAATTCTTTCTGCAGGACGGTTTGTAAAGAACCCAGGAAGTTTTAAGTTATCTAAATTAAGAAATGAAGGGCACTGATTTGGTGATGATATTAAAGTTATTTCAAACACCTTGAAGTAGCTCAGTAAGGAGCGTTTCTGATAGTACATTTTTAAATAATTGGTATTTCTTTATCTAAGAATGTTTCTGTTGAAATTGCTGAGGCATACGGTACCATCACAGAGCTCTATTACTATTCTGCCTGAGTAAGAGAGGAAATGAACAAATTATTAATGTACTTTGGAACCCTGTGGATTGTTCAGATACTAAGCATTGTGAAATAGGGCATAAAATGAGTGGTAGCAAGTAAGTTCCGTGAAATGTTTGTCCCTATTAGCATTTTATTTTTTTTCTCTCTGCAGTTGACTAGCAATTTCTTTTTTCTTAAAGCTTATCTCTAGTATTGGAAGTAGAACTCTGCTTAAATTTATCTTCTCCCCAAATGCCTACTTTGAGGCAAACTCTCAAAGCTCCTGGATGAGATTAAGGTGGAGGTGCTGGTAAATTTCTCTACTCTTACTCATCTTTTTAATTAACTAAATTTGTGAGTTATACAGATTTGTTTGAGTTATACAAACCCAACCCTCATGTTGGGTTTGTATTACTCAGTTCAAATTCCACTGTCATAGAGCTGTTCTCTTTTGAGTGGTCATTCCCTTCAGAATGACTCCACTTATTGGTTGGGTTTCTCAGGTCTGGACACTTACATCAACATTCACTGAGATACTTGTTAAAAATGCTGTTTTCTGTCATCTCACCTCAGAATCAGACAACTGGAGGTGAGGGCTTGGAATTGGTATTTTTAACAAGTTCTGTGGGATTTCTCCTGCACAGTAAAGTTGGGAAACCACTGACTTTGTGCTTCCTTCTCACGGAGACCATCTCCTGAAGTGGATAGCAAGTTTTTCAAGTGGCAGAATAAGTTTTATTCCTTAAACTGCTAATAAAAAACTACTGTGACCTCCAGATATGCAATTGTACCTATAATATACATTTCAGAAGAGCAGAGACTTTGGTTCCCCTCTGTACTCCCAGTGCCCAAAACAGTGCCTGGAGGAACTCGAGTAAATATTTGTTGAGTGAATGAGTGAACTACATCGCAGTAAGACCGATTTAAAAAATCTTTTACTTGTCAAATTAATCTTATCACTTACAGTCACTGATTTTACAAATTAGGAGCCACAGGCACTATACCCGAGTCATTTCTGTAAGTTTGGTTAGTGTTAAAAGGAAAGAGCTTTTGCCAGGTATAGAGTGCTCAAGGTGATAAGCTGGAAAGAAGACTCCTAGAAAAATGTTTGCTTAGAGACTCAAAATATAAATTTAAGTTACAGTGCAGTAGTAAATCGTTTTATCATTGTATCAGAATACCATTTTATAAACTATGATAGCCCAGATAATGCTATAAAAATTGGTTTCTAAATCATGTAGAAAATTGATATGTTTTCCAATTTTGCTTTTCATGCTAATAAAATTTGTCCTTCACACCTTTTTTTTGGAGTCTGCCATAGGGTATCATAAATAATAGGTTCTTTGTAGGCAGTTTATGTGGTTAGGGGTGCTGGATATTTAAGAATGCAAACTCAAGTAGATTAAGTTCTTGAGACACATCCACTTTAGTAAATGGTGGTTATGATGATGATAAAGAATTGGGTTGTATAAAAATATGTAAAACTCAAAAGCTAACCCATTTAATTTTTGTACTACTGTACTTTATGGTAGTAAGTAGAAGTCTGCTGCTTAAGAAAGAAGTCCCTTGCTAATATGTATAATTTTTTAATTGGATAAGTAGATTAAACATTAAAGGTATTTAGTGAACTCAAATATGTAAATATATGTTTTTAAAGTAAAGATCAATCTTGTGATTTTCAGCTTAATTGTATTATTTTAGTACTGATGATGATGATGATGAGCTATTGTCACTTGTATTTAAAAAAAAATTGCATGCTTATGGTAGAAAAGTTGAAATACAGGGGCTGGCTGGTTATCTCAGTTGGTTACAGCATGGTGCTGATAACTCTAGGGACAAGGGTTTGGATCCCTGTACTGGCCAGCCGCCAAAACCAAAAAGGAAAAAAGAAAGAAAAATTGGAATACAGAAAAGTAAAAACTATAAAATACCCGTAAGTCCACTACCTGAATATGTATCTCTCCAAACCCTTTTTTTTTGTGTGGCTATTAATATACAATTTTTGGTAACAGAAATGGGATTTTGCTATACATATGGTTATTTTCTCACCTTTTTTTTTTTTGGCTTAACATCTATCATGAATATCTTTCCATGTCTACATCGCCAATTATAACAGTTTTAGTAATTGAATAATATTCCATTTATTCCATTTTATGGATCTGTGATAATTAGCCAATTTATTTTTATTGGATATTAGTTCGTTTCTTTTTTCCCTCCACTATTATCTGTAACCTTGCAGTGACTGTTCTTCTACATACATCTCTGTATATACTTGTAAGATTTTTTTTCCCCCTTAGGATAAGTTTGTAGAAGTGGAATTGTAGGATTAAAGGATATGCGAAGTTTTTTTTTTTTTTGTCTTTTTTCGTGTCCGGCAACGGATCGCAACCCTCAGTGTTGCGCCCGTACCAGACCGGGACCAGCAACGGGACTGCAACCCTCGGTGCCGGCCCGCACCTCGCTCAGCCAGTGAGCAGGAACCGGTCTGTATGTGGGATCCGAACCCTGGGCGGGAGCGCCGCCGTGCTC